AGCAAATATAATCAAAATTTTAGATAAAAAAAGATACTTAGACATCAAAGTAAACCACATACCACCCGCATACTGCAATATTTATAAAATAAGAAGAACGCGTGAATTGGTGATCCCAACCTGTTGTAATACCTTCAATTGTTTGGATAGATTTCAGAACATCAACAACACCGAAGCAGTGCTCTATATAAGAGAAAACTTAGAAGATTAATTTTGATTTATATCTTTATGCATTTCTTTCCTTTTCTTCTGTTGAAATTTTGCACGCATTTGACACAATAATGTTTTGTGTGTCTCCTTTGAATTTGCTTTATCTTTTTGGTATATTTGATTAGCTTATGAAGAAACTATTTGGCCCTTTTAGCGCACTTACAAATTTTTATAAGAAAATGGAAAGATTATGAGAATAAGAAAACCAAATTAAAAATACGTGAGAAAAATCGTAAGAGATCAGTTTATGATAAAATTGAGAAGTTGTAGTTAGGTTGAAATTCAAAATATATTTTTAATATGAAAACTCTTACAGTTATGATAAAATGCCGAAGTTGTAACCATCTCCAAAATTGTAAAGATTAATTTAAATTTCAAGCCTTTATCTTTCTATTTTTTATTTTTTATATATAAAATCAGTTAAATATAAAAGTTATGTATTTAAACTCTAATTAAAATGCAGTTAAATTTTTATTATATATAATTTATTAGGTTAAAATTAAATGCAAATTCTAATTTGAATAAAAAAAGAGCCAAAAAACGTAGGTTGGTTCATAATCTTTTGGTGCATTATTCTAAAAATGTCAAGTGAATTAATGAGTAAAGTTTTTTTTTTCTTTTTAAAAAAAACCCTGTGCTGACTACGTTTTTATGATATTTATGGTTATGTTGTGGAAGTAATCTCTTTGGTGGTGACTACGTTTTGGGACGGGATGTTTTGTTGTAGAACTTCGAATTGCCTTTTGGAACAAAACCAGTAATTGCATGTCATTTTTATGAATTCTTAATATTTGATATTTCTTGAATATTGTATACATATGGAAGATGCGAGAATTTGAAATGGCTATTCAAAATTCTGCATGTGAGTGTCTGCATTTTCTTCTCGCATTTTTATGGTATAATTCTCTCTTTTTGGTGTTCGAACACTGCATCACATGGTGAGCAACCTTATTGGTTCGATTTTTCAAGAGTAAAAAATATTGATTTCCGATCTAGATACAAGTTTTGGGAATTCACTTAGTATTTTAATTTTAATTTTAATTTTTGAGTGTCGTTTGGAGTTCTATTTCTCATAATGTTTAAGGTTTTTGTTTGTTTACTTATTGCCCTGCGGTAGTTTTCCTTTTACATTATTTCTTGATTTTAACATACCTTTAAATTTTGGCTACTGTGTGGAACATGTTTCTCATAAACTTATAAACAACCTTGAAAGTTTTTGAACTAATTAAGGTAGGATTTGATGGAAAGTAAATTATTGACTGAAAATTATTACTTTCAGAACGAAAATATAGTGAAAAATCTTCTTATGCCTACACTTGGGGACAACTTATTTCACCTTCCAATCTAATAGACTACTTGATTAATCAATTGCCTGTTTTTGAGTAGTTTTTTTACTGTATCTTTGATATGTTCAGTGAAAATTGATCCAGCGATCTAGACATGAGTGAAGAAATTAACGTATAATATTTCTTTTGCCTTTGCAGCTTAAGAGTGATCAAGATATCCTAAAAACTTTTAGGTGAAGCACTATGTTCTGCTTGTACCGGCGAGGACATGCGACTTCTGCTGAAATTATTGTTCACTACACCGTAGGCAATGTGGAGGTGACTTTTATGGAGATGTACATGTTTTGGGTCTTAACTGTAAAATACCCTCCTCCTTTGGCACTTTGATCTATCTTGCACTCATACCACTAAAGAACCAAGGTAGTTTTCTCCAATTTTTGTGCTTGTAATATATAGATGTGTCTTATAGTTATGACTATGTATCAATTTTAATAAAGATCAAGTGTTACAGTAGATGAACTCACTCCCTTTCTGTATTTGGCTCTTTTTTTTTTTTTTTTTCAAAAGAACTAATAATAAATCAATAGACACTATCATCTAGACACAATATTATTGTGATCCAAAGGTATCAAAGCTAATCTAAGTCAGAGACAACACTAAGTTGAGATTCCAACTACATCTGAAAACATGCTGCTAATTCAACTGCCAAGTCATGATTCTTCTTCGCTATCACCTTATGAGTTGAATGACCACATGTGACATGAGAGCTGAAAAATTAGAAATTATTGTTTCAAAATTATGAATAGGATGTCATAATGGTATCCAAGAGAGTAACAACATATAAGTGAAATAAGACTACAAGAGAGATCTGTTGATCCGTTTTAATAATTGTGTTGGTAAGTCAATATGCCACTTTCTGTTAGATTACCTGAAATTCTGATTTTAGTAGATATTTGCATCTATTTAGATTTGATGTCTCAGTTTATTATGATAGTTAAGAATTGATGAAAGACTACTATTTCAAATACTCTATATTAGGGGTGTACATAGGTTGGTTTGGTTTGTTTTTTCATTAAAAAAAACCTAAATCAATTATGTCGGTTTACTAAATCTAAAAACCAAATCAAACCACATAAAGTCAATTTTTTCGGTTTCGGTTTTAGTCGGTTTTTTTCGGTTTTTCGATTTTTTACAACTATACGGTATTTGGAAAAGAGATTAAATATATTTTCACTTACCTGTGTGATAAGCTAAACTTAAAAAATGTTAAATGAATAGAAATTTTCAAAAAGACGGTAAAATTCACATGAGTACAAAATATTTTTTTTGAAATATCAACGTTCATTATGTTAAATTAATAATATTGAAGGCTAGAGGCAAACTGAATACAAAACAAAATATTTACAAAGTAAATTGTTAACTTCGAATATGAAAAACTATAACAATATAATTGTAACTTTGGATCTTAATACAAAACAAAATATTTACAAATTTTACAAGCCCAAATTTGAAATAAAATATATAAACATTGAAAACTATAAACTAATTAAAAATATATTAACAAAGTAAATTAAAAATAATATTTTTTATCTATAAATAAAATAAAATTATATATATATATATATATTACAAAATTGTACAAGCCCAAATTTAAAATAAAAAATATAAACATTGAAAATTATAAACTAACTAAAAATATATCAACAAAGTAGATTATAAATAATATTTTTTATCTATAAAAAAAATAAAATTATATATATATATATATATATATATATTTTGGCGTTTTGGTTTGGGTTCGGTTTGACTTTTTTTCTTTTAATACCAAACCAAACCAAGAGTGGTCGATGTTTTTTCAACCGCCAAACCAATCAAACCAAACCACAAGTCAATTTTTTTTTCCGGTTTGATTTGGTTTGTCGGTTCGATTTGACTTTACAGTTTGACTTGTACACCCCTACTCTATATAGTGTTGTTATGATTGATAAGATAGTGTTGTTTTGTTTCTATGAGATTTTTTCTTTTGTTGTGTGAATTTCAATGTCCGTTTGGATATAAGAACTAAAACCTGAAATTCGGTAAAATAACTGTTGAAAAAATGTTTCTATTCTCAAACTGAATTTTTCAATCCAAGTCTTAGAAGAAGAGAGGATCATTGATAATTCAAATAATTAAGATCTCTTTAATAAGTTTTTCTCTCTTATAATATATTATATAATAAATTCTTATCTGTACTAAACTTTCTTCTATAGTCCTATATTACCTTGCACGCAACAATGTTATTATAATCAAAAACCTTGGAAACATATGTCATATGTTTGAGAAAGTTAATAGGGCAAGAAATGTAACAAGACAAATGAATATCAATTACTTTGTTATATTTTCTTTTGTGCATTTTATTTGTGTATTGGTAATAGTTGAATTGAGTTTGTATGGTTTGTTTTAAGCTAATTTGTATTTTCTTGCTAAAATTTTTAGTTGTGTTAAGCAAATGACTTTACTGTATTGACGTCTACTATATTAAATAAAAATCTTACCTTACTTTAGTAACTATATAACCATTCCATTTCTCACGCTTACAAGTTACAGCTTTATAGTGTCATATATGTTGTTCATGTTTCTCAGAGACAACATTTATATCCGACACTCAGCAGATAGGAAAATTAGGTGTGGCATCGTAGCGGGGGCGATCATATGCTGCTTTAGAGTTCCAGATTTACATGTAAGTTAATATGCCAGTTTCTGTTAAAATGTTTGAGGCAACTTCACATGAGTTTAGTTGATCTTAGCAGTTTTATATCAATTTACATTTAATGCTTCATCTTTGTGCGGTTGTTTCGAATTATGAAATGAAAATCGTTCTTCACTTTGATGTTAATTATAATTTTACAGTAAAAATTGATCGGTAATACTTTTCAAGAATGGAACAAGGATTGCAACCTCTATAATGAGAAAATTTTGCACAACTAAGTAATATTCTACGTTGCATTGAACATGGAAAATTTATCAGTTTATCTTAACTATTGTATGAAAGTTTTGATTCCGCTGTTTTGGGAGAAATATTGGAGAACCATCATATATGGCACCAACATTAAGTTCACGAAAGTCTGGTATCGAAGTACCATCGAAGTATATGCAAGATTTGTTATCAAAATCACAAAGATGGAGTTCAGATTGCAGTGTTGCGAAGCCAGAGTCTCCGAAATTAAGACTGAAATTCAATAATCCAATACAAAAGGCCGCTACTTCACTTAACAGTAAAACTTCTAAATGGGCTTTGTCTCCTGGAAGGCCGAATTCGCCTCCTGTGTTGATGCAGAATAGAGGAATTTTTACATCGAATATGAAGCCTCCGACGAGTCCTTCAAAGGGAAAAAGTGTTGGGAATTTCCTTAGCGTGGGGCTTGAATTGCTCAAAGGTAAGAAATTTTCTTCTTGAGAGCATTCATCATTTGAGGATACTTCATAATAAATTGTTGCAGTGGAGATATATATATACCAGAGCTGATTCAGTCCATCACAATATCAGTAGACAAGCTGAGGTCAGTCGCGGAGTCAAGAATTTTACTAATATGTTATCTATAAAAAGTAATTTTTGACCTTGTTTATTTGGTTTTTATCTTAGGCAAACTTAGTATATGCTTGGGATGGTCTAATGAATATGAGACAATCTGTGGTACAAAAGAAGTTGCAGCTACAGAGGAAAAACATGGAAATGAAATTGAGTTTTGTTCTTTATTCTCAAGTAAGAACTGATTTACCCTTGATGAATATCGGTCAGACAGTAACAAAAATCATCACAACAATTAAAGATCTGATTTTTTCGCGATGTATTGTGCAGATAAAGTTACTAGAAGCATGGGGTTCTATGGAAAGGCAGCATTCTTCAGCAGTGTCAAGTTCCCTAGATTGTTTACAATCCACAGTCTGTAGGGTTCCTCTCATTGAAGGAGCCATGGTAAGTCCATTGGCAAACCAGAAAAAATTGTTAAGGTTGTTCATGATTTAATATACATGTCTAAAAAGTAACTTTTGATCTGTATATACTAAAAAGATTTGCTTACTTTATATAATTTTCCATTGGAGAGTGTTTAACTAATCACCCTTAACTTTATGTGGTTACGTATAAGCCATAGAGTATTTCACTGACAAGATTAAGCATGTAAGTGGAACCACAATCGGCTATTATTGCTCTTTAACATGCATCAAATGTACCTTCATCGATCAAGGTAAGTTTATCTTCGTTGTCACTTTCTGTTTATCAATTTTTCGGGTGAAATAGACCATATGAAAACATAGATAACTAGAGATTAAAATCAAGAATTCATTTACGGGCATGTCGAACCCCTCTTTCCATGGTTGAGTTATCCCATGACTGCTAGATCAGGAAGAGCCAACCATACGTAGGAGGAGACAACTAATTAATGGATGTCACTGTTAAATTTCTTTTAATGCTATCGCAACGTCCATTCAAGCTTGATTTCTCATTCTAATCTTATCCTTTAAATGCAAAGTTGTCAATGTATCGTTGGTATTGTATATAAATAGTCTTCAGTTGTCAATCTACTTTCCAAGATGCCCTAGATCATATGTGTTAGTTGTAGTTTTGATGATTTGACAAACCCAGGGACCTTGTAAAGGGACCTGATACGACGAAAATATACACACAACTGTCAGGCTGGAAAAAGTACAACTGGTTGGTGCACAGTCTCCAACTGTGGCAGAAGTGGCAGAAACCTCAGCCAATGGCATTGCCTCGAAGGTTGTGACTATTCCTATTAAAGATTATGTCCAATAGTCATAATTTTAGTTTTTGCAACTTGAAAACTCTCAAGAACTCTTGCAAAGGCTATTACTACAGAGAAGAATCATCCTAAAGACAAACTCGAACCTGATTGAGCTGCAAGCTTAAGTGGTCTTAGGATTATTTCTTTTGTACTTACATTGTAAATCTATTCCTAAACCTATAAAGGATTCAGATAGTTCATTTGGTGAAAAAGTCTAAATTAGTTGAGTCCAACTGATTTAGTGGGCAGCCTTGTGTGTTGCTTAGTAAAAGTCTAAGTCATCCGGAGCGTGGTGGTTTAGTGGGCAACCTGCGTGTTGCTTAGTCAAATCCTAAGTTGGCTAGTGGTGATAGCTTAGTGGGCAGAGTAGAATCTACTTAGGCTCTTCAAGCAATAGAGTTATTACTTGATTGTGAGATTAATAACTTTTTCTCACATTGTTTGTAACTGTTGTTCGCTTTTGCTTAAGGAAGATTAGTGAAAACAATTGAAAATCCTGTGTGACAGGTCGTGGTTTTACTCCCTTGAGCAAGGAAGTTTCCACATAAACTGCTTATGTTGTGATCGTGTTATTATTTACTCTTCGTTATTATTCTTGTTGAGTCAAGGGACCTGATCCGTTGACTGATAGTGGACGCACGAATTCTATCAATATGACTTTTCTGATTATCATTCTTGCAGGTTCTCCCATTTTAAGTCAAGGTAAGTTTATCTTCTCTGTCGCATTCTTTTTATATTTTTTTATCAACTTTTCTATTTCTCCTATTAAGTATTGAGAAGCAAGACTATGTTATGAGAGACTACACAATGAAATGTGATATCTTGAAAAACATTTAGAATTACAATGCCGTGAAATTGTGATTTTAGTTGTTCGTAAAAAGATAAAAAAATGTATAATTATGTCAAAGTTAAAAAATAGCTAGCCGCCCAAATGTATTTAGAAAAATTATGTGTGTAATTTATTATTGTTGTACATTTGTATAAATGGATATTTGAAGGTCCTAGACGTATATATAAGTTTTTCTTATACTTGAACATAATCATTGTCCATCAATTTGCTTGTGATTCATAATATTTATTTTTTCAGTTCTCTCTCTCAAGTCCAGGTTTTTTAGTTGATTTGTATTGACCTGTTTTTCAAGTACCTCCAGATCTCCCTACATTGTGGTTATTGAGATGTAGAAGATTGGCTACTAAGCTTAGAAATCAGGATCCAGCTTATTGCAAATGTTGAATTACAATATGTTTGTGTTGTATTTGAAAATACAAACCGTTCTTATATTTTGGAGGTATTAGGTCTATAACAATACTGGAAGATGATTCAACTAGATAATGTTTTATTTATGTCTTTTGCACATGGTGTAAATAAAATAAATATATGCTATTAAATACATATTGTATCAGTATTATGCTAAATTATGTTAAGACACTTAATTTTGGGCAGTAAGGTAACTTCATAAAGTGTTGGTAGTAAAATAGTTCCACTACAATGGACTCAATTACTTAAAGAAAACCCTTTAGGATATTTACATTTTGCTTATTGGATGTTGATGCTTTTTTATTAGCATTTGTTTTTCTTATAATTGACTTTTTTTGAATGAGCAACATTGGTAGGGGATATGATTTAAGTGGCATTTTCAATTCGACAGAATACAGGTAAGAAATCATCAATGAAAAGTTGTAGTGAAATTACTTACTCTTAAGTTAGAATAACAATTTAATTTAGTTAGTGTTGGGCCGTGCCCATCTAGTTATTACCCTTATTTAGAAATGGGACTTGGGTAAGGACGAACACTGCAGCAGATAGTAGTACCAAATGTTATATGAGATGTACTATCTATAAATTAACTTTTTTAAGCTTTTCCCTTCTGACACAGACACGTGTATTGCACTTAAATTGCAGTTCCCTGTTTTGTTTCTTTTTGGACATTTGCCTACCTTTTCTATTTTTCCTTCCAAGTCTCTTTCTTCTGTCTCTTTCTTGCTCTCACTTACATCCTTCTCTCTCCTTTGTTTACTAATCCTCTCTGCAAATTACAAACTACAAAGTTTAGAGATTCAGGCAATTCTTTGGTAAGAATCAATTGGATTTTTTCTGATCTTGCTTTATTATAATTGGTACTAATTTGATAGATTTTATATTTGTTACTTTCTAATGTTTTGAATATAATTACTTGCTAGAATTCAGTACATTAAGTAATTTTACTTGATCTACAAATGCATTGAAATTTAAAAATGGATTGTGCATCAAAGATGTTTAATATTATGTCTGAGTCATTTTATATGGACTATTTGATTATTATTTTTTGTTTTTTTTTCTTGTAGTTGGCAAAACTCTTAGAGACCAACTTGGTTCATCTGGTTGAATGTTGTCTTTAACACGCTAAGAATTTAAAAATTAAATTGTGTGTTCCTTTTAACTTGGTGTATTGATTTGCACAGAAAGGCACAAAAAGTCGACAGTGACCTTACGAAGAATTCTAAAATTAAACTGTGTGTTCCTTTTAACTTGGTCTATTGATTTGCACATGCATGTATATATACATGACTATTTGACTACTGTAAGCCTTTAATATGGAAATTGATTTGGTAAAGCTGTCGAAATGAAGGTAGATCAGCAAAGTTGAAGTGATTGAGCTTTCGTTGGAAATATTTGGTCTCATACTGCTACTTTTGGGACTCTGTTGTATACTAATTTTATAATTTTAAGCCTCTGTTTTCTATTGAAGTTAGAAGTTGTTTTTCTCTATTTTTTAGTATCTACAATTACATTCGGACATTTGGGTATTTAATATTATTGCTTTAAATTTTTGAGTTACCACGGATTCTAAATCTCAACAAGATAAAGATTTATGTGATTACATTCATGTAAATGGTTAGCCTAAATTTAATGGGTATATATTATTATTATTCTAACAAAAGGACTTTTCTTCAATTTTTCAATAAACACGGATTTTTACTCTTTTTTTATATTTTGGATTTTTTCATTATATAATTGTGAATCTCTATATGTTGCTTGCTTTAAATTTAAATTTCGTTTCTGTTTTTTTTCTCCCTTTTCCCAATTTCTCTTCCTAATCTGTTCAGCTCTTCAGAAAGGGCCTATGATGGTGGCTACTCTCATTCTTCTTCGGATATGTATTTAGGTCTGCATATCCTTCAATTTAAGGATAATTTGCTTCTTATCTTGAAATAATTTGCTAATGATCTTGAAAGTGCTTGCTAAGAAAACAAATTACACTATTCTGTTTGTATTATTTTCATTGTAATTCTTATTTTTCCGAATGCTACATTGATATGTCTCAAATGTATGCCATTTTATCCCAATGGTTGTCCTCTTACAGTTATTTACTATTGTCTGTATTTTTTTGTGTCATTTCTATGTATTTTCCCCAGATTAGATTAAGTTATAAATTAATTTAACAAATCATGAACTACTCGAAACAGGAATGGAAGAAAATAGAGATAATGTGTCTGTCCAAGAAAGAACTTCTGATAGAAATTTGTGTCGTCGTACTAGATATGCACGGATGTCACCGGAGAGAAAAGAATTATTTTATCCCAGCTAAGAGAAAAAAGGGTTGAATCGAAAAGAGAAAACTCCTTCATTAATCAAATAGTACTGGCACTCTTACAATCAACACTTCTTCCTTATCTCCTCAACAAGGTGAGCTAACCATATTGTTATCTTCCTTCTGTGAAATGTGTCTTCTGAATATCTATAGCTATAGTTACACGCGTCAACTCACCTACTCTTACTAGAGTTATTTTCCTCATTTTGTAGTTGAAGCTTCCGAAGCTACAAACCTACTAGTTACTTCAACTAGAGGAGAATATATAGTTAATTGCTTATCTACCTTCGAAGTAGGTGAGTTCAGAAATATCACTTCAACTATTTTGACTATATTGATTTTTAATAATTAGCTAGCTGCCTCTAAATATTATTATTCCTCATACTAGGATCAACATCGACTGCATCTCATGCTGCAAGTAAATTAAGTTCAAGACATATTGCAAATAGAGGTATGCTTCTTTCTACCAAAGTAATAAAAAAACATGTATTGTCGTGCCTTTATATAACAAATAATTGCTTTTTACCATGCACATGTAGAAATAAGTTAGAAGTCAATCTACAAAATGATAATTTATTGCCAAAAGATTACTTACTTTTAAAGAAAGTTCCAAATTGCAAATTTTGTGCAGCAAAAAAGGTTTTCAATATGAATCACCGGTTTTTGTTGTGATAATGGATCAATTAGACTAACTTCTCATAACATGCCTACTGAGTTGCGAAATTTGTTCTTGGGTGACTCCAAAGAATCTCAACATTTTCGCACTTACAATAGAGCCTACAATAATATGTTTGCATTCACTTCACTTGGAGTACATTATGATAGAGAATTAGCAAAGAGAAATTGTGGCATCTATACATTTAAAGTCCAAGGACAAATGTATCACTTCATTGATGATTTGATACCCTCAGGAGGAAAAGGAAAAAATTTACAATTATATTTCTATGATAACGAAAATGAGCTAACAAATCGAATGACGTTATCAGATAATCTTAATGAGGTGATTGTTACAAAGCTCATGGTTATACTAAAAGTTAATCCTTATTCTACTTTTGTAAGATCGTTAACAGTTGTTCCAAATTTATCTGAATTTTATATTGCTCTAAACTCAAGTTCCAATTTAGACCAAAGAACACATAACTTACCAATTGCATCCAAAGTTGGGGTAATTTGGATTGAAGATCAATTAAATGATAAAATTTCCACACCACATATTCGAATTTACACTCATAGTAACAGAAGTCAATTGGTAAATTACTATTATGGATGTTATGACCCATTGCAATATCCACTGTTGTTTCCTTATGGTCAAAATGGCTGGCATTGTGGTATTAAAAAAATCAAAAAGACGTACAGTTATTCCAAAATACAAATTTACTGTGAATATGAGCAGCTACCAAGTATAATGAACATGACTTCTATTGATGGACTCCTTGACATAGAATCTACAGTTTTATCAAAAGGATTGAGAAAAAGAGAGACTGTTTCTTATCGTGAATATTATTGTTATAAAATTAAAATAAGAGATCAAGAACCAAATGAAACTTTACATTCTGGAAGGGTGTTTCAACAATACATAGTTGACCAATATATAAAACTTGAGACAAAAAGATTAGATTTTGTTTCATTTAATCAAGATCTATATAGAGTTGAAGCCTTTCAAGGAATCATTGATTTATTGAGGCAAGGAGAAAGAGATGCTTGCACTATTGGGAGACAAAAATTCCTTCCTGGTAGTTTCATAGGAGGCCCAAGAGATATGCGTTGAAGATATATGGATGTCATTGCTTTGGTACAATATTTTGGAAAACTCGACATATTTTTGAGCCTGAAATACAAGAACATTTACAGCCAATGGAAGAAGTTCAAAACAGACCTGATTTAGTTAGTAGAGTATTCAGAGCAAAAGTAGAAGAACTTAAAACATATATTCAAAAAAACAACATATTTGGAAAGGTTGCAGCTTTTAAGTATACAATTGAGTTTCAAAAACGGGGTCTTCCACATGCCCATTTTCTCATTATACTTATGGATGGATATAAATTGCTAGCACCACAAGCATATGATAAAATTGTATGTGCTGAATCCCCATATTGATCATGATCTATACAAACTTGTGACCAAGCACATGATCCATGGTCCTTGTGGCTATTTAAATCCTTCAAATTCTTGCATGCAAAAAGAAGGAAAATGTAAGTTCAAATGTCCAAAAGAACTTGTTGAACAAACAACCAAAGGAAAGAATTCGTATCCCCTTTACAAAAGACCAAAAATGATCACACCAGTCAAAGTTAGAGAACACAACATTGATAATTCTTGGATTGTTCCGTACAATCTGTTTTTACTCAAGAAATTTGATTGTCATATTAATGTTGAAATATGTTCTGACATTAAAGTTGTCAAATACATTTACAAATATATTTGCAAAGGACATGACAAAATTGCATTTTGTGTAAATAATAATGATACTAATGTAGAAATAGATGAAATCAAAGAATAGCAATCTGCTAGATGGGTTTCTCCATCAGAGGCTGCATGGCGTCTGTTTGCTTTTTTGATAAGTGAAATGACTCCAAGTGTTTGCCAGTTGCAATTGCATCTTGATGGACAACAATTTGTTTCTTTAAAAAATAACCAAACTGTGGATCAAATAATAAACAATCCAATGATAAAGAAAACGATGTTAACATAATTTTTTCTTATGAACAAAATCAATAACGATGCTATAAATCTCAAATTACTATATAAAGAGTTTCCCCAACACTTTGTATGGATGCATCATACAAAATGTGGTTGCGTCGAAAACAACACTATCGGACGTATTGTGACATGTCATCCAACCGAAGGAGAAAGATATTATCCTAGGTTGCTTCTAATGAACGTAAGAGGACCAAAATCATACGAAGATCTTCGTACAATGGATGGAAGATGCTACACTACATTTAGGGAAGCTGCAGAAAAAAAGAGGTTTATTACATTCTGATAACAACTTAATTGAGTGTATGTCTGAAGCTGTAAGCTATCAAATGCCTTATAGTTTAAGAAGACTATTTGCAACATTATTAGTTAATTGTAATCCTGGTAACCCAAAAGATCTTTGGAAAAAATATGAAAACTCTATGTCAGAAGATTTTAAAACAATTCCAAATGTTAGAAAAAACGATATCCAGCAGTTACTTTTAAATCATATCAATGAAGTTCTACTCAATGGAACGTAACCTAAATGAATTCAAAGATATATTTGGAAATGTTAGCTCTTCTAGAACAACTAATGAGGCGAAAGAAATATATTTCGAAAGACATATAATAGTGTCTGAAGAAGATATACTTCTACAAAGAAAATTAAATGTTGAACAAAAAAGGGAATATAACATAATTCTTGAAAGAGTATATTCCAATAAATCAGGAGCTTTTTTCATTGATGGTCCTGGTGGAACTGGAAAAATATTTCTTTATCGAGCTTTGTTGGCTGCTGTAAGAACAAAAGGATGCATAGGTTTGGCAACTGCAAGTTCTAGTGTGGCAGCTTCAATACTTCCAAGATGACGAACAACTCATTCACGTTTCAAAATTCATGTTGACATCGATGAGAATTTCACTTGCAATATTAGTAAACAAAGTTCGTTAGCGACTCTAATTCGAGATTCAAAGTTAATTGTTTGGGATGAGGTCTCAATGGCAAAAAAAAATATGATTGAAGCTCTTGACACTTTTAAAAGATCTTATGAATACAAAAACAATCTTTGGTGGAAAAGTAGTAGTTTTTGGGGGAGACTTTAGACAAACACTTCTTGTTGTTCGTAGTGGAAAAAAGAGACTTTATTAGTCAAAGTTTATTATACTCTCATATTTGGAATCATCTCAAAAATTTGTGCTTATTTGAAAACATGCGTGCAAAAAAAAATCCAACATTTTGTGCATATTTAATGAGAATTGGAAATGGACAAGAAAAAACTAACAACTACAACAAAATTGAAATTTCCAATAATTTTATCATTCCCTTTACACATGAAATAGAATCTTTGAATCTTTTGTTTAATGTTACTTATCTTGATTTGTGTACATTCTATTCTAATCCATCTTTTATAAACTTCCCGTATTATTTTGACACAAAAAATGATTTTGTTGATGAAATAAATGACATGCTTATACATCGATTTTCCGATGATGCTACAGTGTATACAACTATTGATGAAACAATAGAACCAAATGATCAATGCCAATTTGAAGATTTTTTGCATACCTTACATCCTGCTAACTTACCACCTTATATATTAACTTTGAAAAACAATTGTCCAGTTATATTATTAAGAAACTTAAATCCTACTAAAGGTTTATGCAATGGTACACGATTGATATGTCATGATTTTAAGTCACATGTTATCAGAGCTACTATTTCCAGTGGTGATTTTAAAAATAAACATGTTTTTATTCCAAAGATACCATTACTAGCATCACAAGATGAGAAGCTACCAGTTCCCTTCAAAAGAACACAATTTCCGATAAGGTTATGTTTCACTATGACTATAAACAAAGTTCAAGGTCAAACAATAGATTTTGTTGGAATATATTTGCGTGAACCAGTTTTTTCACATGGACAACTTTATGTTGCTTTATCTCGAGCAAAATGTTCAGAGAATGTAAAAATATTAATACGTCTGCCTACGATAGAGGACACAGATGATCATTCTACATATAACGTAGTTTATGACGAAATCATTCGAAAAGCATTCTCATGATACTTTTAAAAGCAACAAATGTAACAAGTAAGCACCCTCATGCTATACATTGTGAAATTTCGGATTCTTACTTCATCTGCTTTTAAAGCTAACTAAGAGTTAGCTCGCAATCATATCAGTTCAAGATTTTAAGTTTTAAATTTCACCTTTCAATTCAGATTGTGCCTGGCCAATTAGTTAAATTTTAAATGTTTAATTTTGACTAATCTGAATGCTAACATTGCAGGAACAACTTATTCTATCAAGGGTAACTGTTTATATAGTTCTAGCGGAAGAAAATGACAGAGATGACCTACCTGTTAAGGCTTCAAACCTTTTTATTTGAGATGATACAAGTGCAAATAAATGATGATGAGGTAAACAAAATTTTCAGTCATAATGTTATACCAATTAATGCTCTTAACTTTGTTGACTGTACTTTCAGTGAATTTTTCTTGCTTATCTTCTCTCTTTGTTTGTTGTTTAACTTCTCACATTACCGTGCTCACTTCTGTTTGCTAGAATAACTTTTGTTTCGCATTTTTATTGATAGAATAACTTATGTTTGGCTGCTACCATTTGACACCTCATTTTGAGGTTGAATCACTGCTGTATTTTGGCCTTTTGCTGCTTCTTTTTGTGCTGTATTCTGAGCCGCGGGTTGTTGTATTTTTTCTTTTACTATTACTGAATTTTTGACGAAGTTGTTTGCTATACTTTTAGCGAAATTTCAGCCAATGGTTGCTATGTGTTGAGCCAAACTTCGCTGCACTTTTAACTCAGCCATATTGTAAAAAATATTGCTATTATAAACTGCATTTTTTAAATTTTGTGTTAGTTTACCTGAAACAACTATAGCTTTAAACCACATGATATTAGTTGATCTTAATAGATACTTTTACAACTGTTCGAATTTGACATTTCATTAGCTTTAGCCTAACAGTTCAGCTAAGAAGCTATAATCCAGGAATTAGTTGCATGAAGTTATATATTATTTTGCTTTATTTTGCTTTCCACTAATCTCTATATTGTGTCTATTGCAAATGCAGACTATGACAACATTTGTGCCCGCCCCACCCGCAACAACCTTTCAAGTATGATCCCTTTGTGTAGGTAAAGACAAAGCTCAAAGGACATCATAAAAGAATAACTGGGCTTGCTTTGTCAAATGCTCTCAACGTGCTTATATCTGCAGGAGCAAATTCTCAAGTAAATTAATTTGATATAGGTGTATTTCGACATATACCTTACTTAATAGAAAAATATAGTTGTTGTGTTTTGGGCAAATTTGTGGCTTGATCTTATTGATAATAGTTGCTGCCGTTGATGAACAATTTCAGCACTTTGGCCATTTTTTTGCTACAATCTGTTAAGGCTAACAATGAAACAACTTTGCTTATTTAGCTTATATTTGGCATGTTTATCGTTACGTCATGTCTTTGATGAGAATTAATTATTGTCTTTGATGAGGACGAACAGTGGCAAGTTGGTAATTACACTTTAATTGTACGTTTTACTCCTCTCAGCTTTAGTTGAAGTTTTTCTATTTGAGGGTGAATTAGTAATTTAGTCTCTCTTCTATCTTTTATACTTCATTTGTTTTTAGTATCAATTGCAGAAACATTATTCTCTGTTTACACTTTTCTTTGCTATTGACGAAAGCCAAGTTACTTTCTCCATTTGATTTACTCATTTCTGCAATAAATTTATTATCTTAGTCTGATGGGTTGCTTCTACTATTTTGCTCTTCTGGGTAAGTTTTATTTGAAATTTTTAGTCTTCTGCTTGGTGTATTGGCAGGTGTTGAACATGCATGCATGATGCATCTATATAGTTGATTTTTCTTAAATATCTCATTTTAGTTAAAAGTTAGTTTTGGCAAATTTTTATCTATTCTTGGTTTTAATGCATCCGATTACTGTTAATGGAATTTTTGTGGTATCGGTATTTTTATTGTTCATTTGAGTAGTTTATTTTCAGATGCATGCTTGTTACTGCAAGTCTGCAATAGATTTGCACTCTGATGAACGGAAGGTATTTGATAATATGTCTAAATCAACTGGGTTTTTTTTCACAATAGGTTTTCAATACCAACAACAGAAAAAAGTGTATGAAGTTAGAGATAAAATTTAGACAGGGTAGCTATAGTATAAGGCGTGATTCATGTTCAGTCTAAAGCATTTTACCATATTTGAACAAGACAATTTTTATTTACTTTGCTTCACCTATGTTTTTTTCTTGAAATTATTCATCAATTATATGGTTTAATATTGCCCTTGCTATATTCTCATTAAGTGTAAAATTTAAAGAAATACAATAGCAATTTTATATTAATACCTCCAATGAAATTGATCTACATCTCTTTTTACTACTTGCCAAACGGGAGAAAGAGTACTTCCATGTAAGCATGAGCTATTCTAAGATTTTTGATCAATGATATACTCAAATATAAATATATCTAAGGCACATGTTAGATTAATTACAACTTTTTCGTTGAAGGTTGAATGTTGAAGATGGGAAAGATAAACAGTTAAAAGAAAGGCATAATATATAAACATGATCATTAACTTGGTGTCATTTGACAACTATGACCTTTAACTTTGAGAGTGCACAAGTAGACACTTAAACTTGTATAAAATTGAACAAGTAGACACATTCGTCCTACATGGCACCCTACATGACAATTTTGTGTCCTACATGACGGCCTATGTGTATTATGCCATGTAGGACATGTCTGTCTACTTGCTCAATTTTATACAAGTTTAAGTGTCTATTTGTGCACATTCAAAGTTGGAGGGCATAGTTGTCCATTGAAGCCAAATTAAGGGTCATGTTTATGTATTATGTCTAAAAGAAAAGAAGAACCATAAAATTTCCACATATTTGAAAACTACCTCTTCTTCTTTGTCATTTACTTTAGCAGGTATTGTTCACTACCTGCAATCCTTTTTGTGACTCGACTCAAGCTCATCATAACCTTTTTTGTGATCACGTTCATCATAACCTTTCCTGAAAGTAGACGACAAGTTTGAAATTTTAACGCCAGCATAATCATTGAAAGAGTATCTTCTTTTTCGCCACACCGCATCAAGGTGACAGGATTCGAACCTATGGCCCTCTGTACCCAAAACAAATGCGCTGACCAGACTGCGCTACACCTCGTCTCACCACCCCGAACCATTCTACGTCCGAACCGAGACCTAGGAAAAAGTAGAATGGTTATGAATTCCTCATAGGAAAAAGTAGAATGGTTATTGATTATAGAAATTTAAATGCAAAAACTAAAACATATAATTACCCGATATCAAATAAAATATTAAAAATAAGACAAATACAAGAATATAATTATTTTAGCAAATTTGACTGCAAATCAGGATTTTACCATTTAAAGTTAGAAGAAGAATCTAAAAAATTTACGGCATTTACAGTACCACAAGGATTTTATGAATGAAATGTATTACCATTTGGATATAAAAATGCACCAGGTAGATATCAACACTTTATGAATAAATATTTTAAACAACTAGAAAACTGTGTAGTATATATTGATGATATATTATTATATTCCAAAACCCAAGATGAACACATAAGATTATTAGAAAAATTCATATATATCATAGAATATTCGGGCATAAGCTTAAGTAAAAAGAAAGCAGACATAATGAAAAGCCAAATAGAATTCCTAGGAATACAGATAGATAAAAATGGAATAAAAATGCAAACACATATAGTACAAAAAATAATTAACTCAAATGAACAACTAGACACAAAAAAGAAATTACAATCATTCTTACTTACCTAAACTATACTTTCTAGATGAAAACAAAAAATTTACTTATATAATAGAATCAGATGCGAGTGAAAAAAGTTATGGAGGAATATTAAAATACAGGTATGATGACACTACGATAGAACATCATTGCAGGTATTATTCAGGAACATTTAATAATACAGAAATAAAATGGGAAATAAATAGAAAAGAATTATATTCAGTATATAAGTGTTTATTATCATTTGAACCATATATTGTATATAACAAATTCATTATAAGAACATATAATACACAAGTAAAATGGTGGCTAACAAGAAAAATACAAGATTCGGTAACAACAAAAGAAATAAGGAGGTTGGTATTAAATATATTAAATTTTACATTTACAATTGAAGTAATAAAAACTTATAAGAATGTTATTGCAGATTACCTATCACGACAAAGCTACTCAGACTGAGACTGAGGAAGAAGATACAATTGAAAAGATACTCAAAGCTATTACTACATTTTGTACAAAAGTGGATAGTATGGACAATGAGATACAAAAGCTAAAGTCTAATGAAGATAATCTGAAGTCTAAAGCTAGTATAACTCAGCAGCATGACTATAAAAATGCGGAGCTATGCCGATCGGAAGACAGAAAAAATACCAGAGCTAAAAGGTGACGTTGGAAAACACCTAAAAACCCATAACACTTGTTTAAATACAGCTGCAGGTACAAGCCAACGAGTTAGTGAAAAACATAAGAACTCAAACTTAAACCAGTTATTCAAAAAACCATTTACCCCAAGGCCAACACCAAAAAACGTATTGACTATAGAACCACAAACTTCTACATACGCGGATAGCCTACACCATGACAAAAGGACATATAACCATATTACACGAACCTATATAGAAAATATATACAAAATCCAAACATTTTAAACCCAGATCTACTACAACCCAAGAACCCAACCAGGATTATTTAACCCAAAAATTACTAGGTTATAATAAACTGATTGCACAACCAAAAACTAACGCCAACTTAGTAAGGACAAGTTACAACTATGGACTATGACGGAGAGGAACTAAGTGGAATACCGGAACTACATAAAGCATTTATTACATATAAGAGAGTTACTAAGGGAAATTTATTCTATGTAAAATTTTATACGGCAACAACATAGATATTATACGAGGAAATAAAAGCTCCGATACAAGTGGTAAAGATAGGACTAACAAAAGATATGATAATACCGGAAGATATCGAACAACAACCAAAGATACAAAAAAGCGAGATACCCAGTTTTTATGTCAATAAGAGAATAATTGGTATATCAACCATCATACAAGAGCTAGCAAATAATTATTTAAACGGAAACGCTATATGGAGCTACTATGCAAGAGATCAGTTAATGATTTATTCCAATTCAAGGGAGCTAAGGAAAGCAGATATGGATGAAGTCCAAAGATGGATTTTATCATTACTTAAGCCAGAAGAACGACCTACAACACGAGCACTAAAAGAAGGATTTATTTCAGCAGAATTATTAACCAGATATTGCAAGCTAATTGGTCACAAATACCCTGACCACATATGTTCAAAATGCAACGGAGAAGATAACATAATTCAAGATGTCGATTTAGAGTAAAAGAAGACGATGAAGATAAGATGCAGACAAGACAAGATAAGA